AAATAGGCAAGAAGATACGGTATCAATACACCACCTGGCCCCCAGAGGTAAAGTTTCTGAGTTACCAACGGGTACATACCCCGAACCCAATGAATCCGCAATCCCCGAATGCAATCCTCAACCCCCTCGTACAGAGCGTAACAATGGGACAACAACCACGAGCATTTCCCCACCCCTTGTTCAAAACACTGATCCATACAATACAGAACCCGAAATACACCCATTGGCAAAAGCACAACGCACTCACCCCTATAATCTGAGAAACCGAGAAGCATAGAACATTTTCACATACAGAAATTCCGACGAAATCTGTCCACGGGGGTGAATGTTATGTTACACTTTTGTTTGTTGTTTCACATTACTTTGTACTCGTCCCTCTAAATTTTCCCCTCATTCCTTTTCAGCCCCTGTCGTCCATTTGTATGTTGAATAAAGCCTAGATATCGGGCCTTTGTCTTCTCTCTGTTCAACGGCTGTTGCCTCACACTTGCCTCTCACATCACTATATCATCCCAGTGTATGCACTCGAAATTATTGATGCCCTCGAGGGAACAAGAAAATCACGTTTATTGGTTGGCTACCACATTCTTCAGTGACTCCAGCTAACCAGTTCTTTAGACCTCAAAGGGAGCGGACCAGATATACGATGGCTAGGGAATTGAAATTTGCAGTTTCATCGTTATTGAACAATTTAACTGCCGTCAAATGACATCAAGGTTTAAGATCATTATCGTGACACGAAAGACAATGATGTGAACTTCACTGATCGCTGCCAAGCTACCAACGTACACAAATTGAGGATGTACGAGTTGGACAGGAACTGAGCCTATTTGGAGAGGGAGAGAGACAGATAAAGAATGTGAAACTCTAAGGTCAACAAACAGAGTAGACGATTTAAATGTGTATACATACCGGAGAATTGATTCACAATAGTTACCAAATTTTACGATATGTATATATTTATATTTAGAAAGAGAGATGGAGGGAAAGAGTGAGAGCAGCAAATTTTTCTTTTCGATTGAACAAAGCCCCATAAAAGAAAACTCAGAGAATAAGGTTGATGCAATGACACACGAAATACTGTCACTCACAGCTGGATACGGGTCGCCCCGATTAACCACGGATAGGGGTATGGAGTGTGCACTGAAGAGTAGAACTACACGTTCGCGTTCTTGTGGATCCTCAATAGACATCAGTTTATGTTTGATGTGATCGGCAAAAGCGGTCACCAGTGGTTGAAACAAAGGCCAACGATCAATAAGTGACCAAATAGTCTTCTTTGTGCCACCGGACAGAGTTGGTGGCTCCACAGTTTCTACTCCCGTGAAAGTACCCTGAGTGGAAGTGTAGTGACGAGCGATGGCATTGAAGCTGCTACCGGATGTGGTACAGCTGAAATGTGGATACTGACTGAACGCGACAGCACGTTCGACGCCATCACTGAAATTGATTGCACAGGCATGTTGTGCGTGTGTGCGTAAGTTAAGGGAATGAAGCTCACTTTTCCAACTGGTTAATTGTTGTTTCAGTAAGCGGGTGAACATATCGGAAACCTATGTACAGTTTGTGAGGCGCTGTCAAAGCGCTTGTAAGAGTGGTGAAGCTAGACTACCAGTTTGGGGACTGATTTTATCCAGATGATTTATCATCCAGTTTCCTTGTTTGGTTGTCCATTCCGTGATTGGAGAGCCGCCACCGATTTTTTCATACTGTTGAATAATTTTTGGTGAACGGCGCTTGGCGATCCATCGAGATAAGTAACTAACTCCGGAGTTTGGTGAAAGCGGATATATTATACCTTTGTGCCGGAAGATCGATGATTTCTTTATCGGAAAACAAACGCAGAAGAAAATCGTGGACGTATTCCTTGCTCGACGGTCCACCCATATTTAGCATGATCACAGCAGTTTTGGGTCTGGAAAAGAGCAAAGATCTTATTTATGGAAAACGATCAGCGCTCACCTTGAGTTCTGCTGCTTGGTAGAAAATCCGCGTAAATGCGGTCCTGTTCTCAGCGTTAGCGCATTCACATACTTCGCTAACATATTGAGATGTGAGAAGACACTAAAATAAAAACAAAATCTGGGGAGAATTAATGCTGATAACCCGGTGAAAAAAAATATTTCAATCATGATAGAACCAAACATCGAACAGCAATATTGAGGGATTATTGATCCAGTTATACAGACCTACCGATAGGGAAGAGAAATTGCCAGATGTCGTTCATTGCTCGTATTAAAAAGTTACGGAACACGCCGTTGTTGTAAATGGTGAACTCAGTACCATTAAACTGAGATGTTTGTCCCTTTTTCTGGTTACACTTTGGAACTCATTTAGTTTCCATCGATCTCAAGTCTACCGCAAAAGGAATACCAATATCCATTTCCAAAGAATTGAGGAATCCAATGGGAGTAATATGAGAATAAACTGAATGCCTGTCATTGAGAGGCGGGAGCACTCAGAGTGGTTTCAAATGTCCGGTCTCATCAAACCGTGTGAGACCTCGTAACCCAGGAGTTTTATTCCTGCAGATCTGAAACACGGATGTCTGTCATTTCCGCAGAAGTAGCATTTAGCTTCAACTGCGGCTAACATTGACCTTCGAAGCGAATTTTCCCGATCCCCCGTCAGTTCAACCACCAGCCGAATGACTCAATGAACACCGGCAAAAAAATCAAGAAAGCAATGCAAATATCCATAAAACCAACGTCGAACTCCGGTGTAGGCTCAAAACACAAACGATGGATCTGGCCGACCTCGGTTGCTCTGCTGGATGCCCGCAGAACACTTCCTACTGCAACCGTATACGACAGCGCGCAAATCCCTTAAAAGCCAGCTTATCAAGTCTGAGGAATGACAGCGAGAATTGACGGATAGGAAAATGTAGAGATGGAGAAAGCTGCCGTTAGTAGTTACAGTCGCACCCTTCTGTCAAATTAGGAATACGGGCTTCAGGAAAATAGGCGTAAGAGAGGTAATTAAGGAATTCGATGGCACCGTGATTAGTTATCAGCAACGCCGTCTTGATCGATAGGCTGAACATTTTGAGGCCCCCCATTGACATCTGAC